AGGAAGGAAGGAAGGAAGGAAGGAAGGAAGGAAGGAAGGAAGGAAGGAAGGAAGGAAGGAAACCTAAGGAAGGAAGGATGTGGAGAGCTCATTTTCCTACTTTTAAAAGTAGCATAAACTGAGCTATAAGACCCAGTCTTTCTCTGCATGTCAGCTAGTGTGGCTGTGGGGTTTTGTTGCTGTTGTTCTGTTAGAATGAGTGTGCACTACATTATATTTCATAATGACAAAATGTCAAAATACTTGATAATATGATCTAGTACCACAAAGCCAAATATAAGAGATAAACATACAAATGTAAATTGATCAGAAAAGGATGGTACACTTGTTTTACAACAGGAAGCAGTAGAAAGGTTTTTCCCATCTTTCACTAGGCAGGAGCAAGCCAGAACACTGAAGCAAATAGAGGGAAACTGATACCTACTAATATAAGACTTCATTTGCTTCATGCCTTTCGTAGCGCACAGTCTCACACATTAACCTGCAAAAGAAAAAAAGGCATGAGTTCAACATGTATCATTCCAAACATACTAGCAAATCTAAAAACAAATTGGTTTGGATGCTAAGATTATCGTATATGACTAGTGAAAATTATATTTACCAGCCTCAAAATGATTACTGGCTATTGCAATAACAAATGTGAAATCAAATCTGGTAAAGATATACATCTAATAAGATGCCAGCTTCAGGGCTGGGAAGCTCAGTGGTAGAGGCTTGCCTTGCATGCCTGAGACCCTGGGTTCGATTCCTCAGCACTACAAAAGCAAAAAAGAAAAAAGCCGGAAGTGGCGCTTTGGCTCAAGTGGTAGAGCGTTAGCCTTGAGCTGAAGAGCTGAAGGACAGCGCCCAGGCCCAGAGTTCAGGCCCCATGACCGGACCCAAAAAAAAAAAAAAAAAAGATGCCAGCTTCATTCTATTTCCCCTCAGCAGTAATGTTTCTCAGCAGTATAACAGTATTTTTATAGCCAATGACTACCATAGAGGTTTAATGATTTGTTATTTCAGCTGATTTGTCCTGAGGGAAGAATTATGACATATGAATATTTGAAGTCATTTGTCTAACATATATAGAAATTCAACTCAGAATGACAACAGTGGAGAAAGCTGGCTCTAAAGTGGCCCTCTCAACAGCACCCTCAACTTGGACCCAGGCAGCTGTGCTCCCAGCAGTGTCATCTTTCTTGGGTGTTAAATCCAGGGCACAAGTCTCGTGGGTGCTCTAGTTTGTGCCTCCCACTACACCCCTCATGCTTGCAGTAATTCAATCTTGAAGTAGTGACCACTATGTCTGCCCAAGAACTTCTGTCTGCCCCTTCCCCCACATCGAGTATCTATGTGGAGCATAAAAGCCCAGAGCATGGTGCTATAAATGACCTTGATATTAGGTTAAGACAAGCCAAGGGCATCCTAGCTTAAATGCATTAACTATTATCCTGAGAACTTTCAAAGTCCTGACATGGATTTTGCTGTCACCTGGGACCATGTGTTGTCAGTACGTCTCCAGGAAAGTACACTTTGCAATCCTGGGTCTGCCTGCAACTTCTTTCAGCTTTACAGTATCTTGAAGCCATGCCTTGTAGACTGGGACCAGGTTAAGACTGTTCTTGATGTCCTCATTCTCGAGCCCTTCCTTGAAACATTCCAACTGAATGTCACTTAGCTCAAGGAGGCAGAAGCAAATCTTGGATACATATCACTAAACACAAAACTTTCCTTAATAGGCGCAATCCCAACTCTTCATAGGAAAGATGACAGTCACAAGTGAGGGGGCTAAATATATCTGCGCTTAAATGAAATAACAGTCTCTGCCTTGTTTCCTGCCCTCGCCTCAGCTGCATCAGCATCCTGGACCTCATTCCCGGACCTCCATGCTCTTACCAACTTAGCACCGTTTCCTATATTCTGCCCATTTCTCTCTACTGATATACATCCAGCATGCTCACATCACCTACTGTGTTGGTGACACTCTTCCTGAACTCCAAGTTATCTTCTTATTATCTACATTTTGCTTTTTCTATTAGAGAAAATCTTTTTTCCAGCATGCATGTCCACATGTGTGTACATGTGTGAGTGTACTATACCTCCACTTTTTCATCTTCTTCCCTCTCTCCATCATTTGGTCCCAAAACTACAAAGAAAAAGCTCTAAAGCAAGCAGAGACCTCCATATTATCTAATTCTTTTTGGTGCTTCACTAACTCCATTCAGCAACTCCATCTGGCAAATGCTTCTCTAGAGCATCATCTTAAGGCCTCTGGTCTTAGATTTCCTTTTTCCACTGAGCTTAGTCATACTTTCTATCTCCTTGAGATTCTCCCAAACACCCTCTCCCCACCTATTCCTCAGGGCAGGTCCTTGGCCCTCTTCTTTATACTTAAGTAATTTCACCTACCAGCTTACAATTTCAAATTAAAGACTAATCAAGATGTTTACTCACCTGAATGCATATTCAATGTAACCATTTGAGTTGAATATCTAACAGCTAGCTACATAGTGTTTCAAATGTCTAAAACTGAGCTTAAATTTCCCCTCAAAATCTGTTTTCCCAAAATCAATGCTCAAACATTTAGGCTTACAACTTGGAGATCCATCATCTTTGTCTCCTGATTTTTTTCACATCAGCACCTGCTTCCAAAATCTACCCTCTAAAACTGCAAGTTCACTATCTCCCATGGAATGACCTATTCTGAGCCACTACCCTCCTACCATTTTCCCTTCCCATGACCACAATGAGGTCCTACTTCAACCTGTTGTCCAACACCTCTGCCCTATGAAAATGCAAATTCCTCCCCTGCATACAGACTCTACCCTACCTGCTATATGACCTTGCCAAACCTTGTCACACGCCTGTTCCCAACAAAAGAATAGCTGGAGTACTCTTCTCCTTGGAAATCTCAGCACAGCTGCCCTATTTTCTTTTTTTTTCTTTTTTTGTTGGTCGTGGGGCTTGAACTCTGGGCCTGGGCGCTGTCCCTCAGCTCTTCAGCTCAAGGCGAGCGCTCTACCACTTGAGCTACAGCGCCACTTCCGGTTTTCTGGTGGTTTATTGGAGATAGGAATCTCATGGTCTCTCCTGTCCGGGCTGGCTTTGAACCGCGATCCTTAGATCTCAGCCTCCTGAGTAGCTAGGATTACAGGCGTGAGCCACCAGCGCCCGGCCAGCTGCCCTATTTTCAAATCTTGCCTCTTCCTTTCAATTCAAAGTCAGAGCAACCACCACCCACTTTTACCATGTCTAAATGCTAACATCTGAATGAACAAAGGTCTCTGCATGTCCGTCATGACATGAGCTGATGTTTTCCATAAACATGACTTTTCAACATATATTGAATAAGTAACACATCTGAAAGATCTCTCCCTATAAATTCATGCCAAAAAAACTCAATCTCTACATGTTCCAAAACAAACTTTTTACGGTTTAAGTATACTAAGCTACTCTTCTGAATTTCTAACCAAAACTTACCTTTCAAATAGCAGCTAGTTGATCATTCTGAAGTTGGCCAATGTGTGCACAGATATGCATTGTATTATGTCTATTTGGGCAATTTTAAAAATTTCCATTTTGGTCGATGTGTGCACAGCAATTCACTGTGTTAAATTTACTCTGGTAGTTTTGAAGTTTTTCATTTATTGATTATATAAAATTCTAGCAGCTAAAGAATTTTATAACCAGATATACTATAAACACATCATATATTTAACATATCTAAATTCACATGCATGGTTCTATGTGTACAATGGGGATATGACTGTTACAATTGCACAATCATTCTTCTTGTGTTTGAAAATTAACTGCATTCAATTAAATGAGTATAAAACTTTTTTCTTAAGAAAACGGTCATAACAAAGTATCAATTGAAAACTATACACTTTAAAAATTACTCTAGCTTTAATGTGAGCCATCTTCCAAAGTGCTAATGGCTTTGCCTTCTTACAAAACCTGACTGATTTTTTTTTACTTAATCTACAGTCAACTTTAATTTAAATGAGTTTCATTAAAAATGTAATTTTAGAAGCACTCTTGATATTTTAACAATCCTCTTGATACTTTTTTCAATTAACAACCAAATATAAAATAGGCATACTCACAAATTAATTAGTGTTTAAAGAATAAAGGGTAAATATATAGAAAAGTATGCATTTCATAATTAAAAACTGCTGCCACACAAATAGCCAGAGTAGAAGTTAACAAGACATTACATTATGTCCTAATTTACTACCTATTTACACTTAAGACAAAAATCATTTCTTTCTTCTGAAACTCAGGTAACCACAAATGATACTGCTGTATTACTGTTCTCCAGATATGATAGTTTTTCTATAAGCGGATCACATAGAATAAGTATGCTATCTACTGTGTGGATCAGAATAGCAGCTGTGTACTTTATGGAGTATATGTATATTCACAAAGACCTAGAACATACTAAAATAGTGAATAGCCATTCTTTAACTAAATCTACTTTCTAATACATCTGAGCACTAAATAGTACATTTTTATTTGCCAGGAGTGGCAAATAATGCCATATCCATTTGGCATACATACTTTCTGGGGAGTGATATAGACAAATGGGGTATGAGTGAAAAATTATTACTGTGACAGAAAGGTCAAAGAGGGAGACTGTCACAAATAGAAGAGAATAAGGTGAGGGAAAATAAAGGATAATAAAAGGGATGTATAATATCAAAGTATATTATATGTATGTATAAAATGTCATAATAAAATTATACAATTAAAATATGTAAATGCAAAGATAAGAAAGTATTATATGAACACAACTGAATTCATTTTATAAAACTTACAAAGCAAGTATGGGAGGTAGATGAAACAGTTTTTATACATTTTATAAGCCTTTACATTTAAACCTACTTCTAAATAAGTAAGCATATAAAATCCTAGCATTCTATCATCATTACATTAATATTAAAATGACAAACCTAAGTTGGTGTTCCCTCAGGTTCGATAAGGCTTCCATCCCATGTAAATAGGAATAGACTATTTCCAGATCCTGTTTCAAAGAAATGAGAGAGATTATTAGAGTTGTCAAAGGGGGGAAAAGTTTCTAAAATAAGTTACAAATTAAAATATGTGTGGCTTTTAAAAATACATATTTTCATAAATATTAAAAATAAATAATACTAAGAGTCCTTACTCCTATTTCCTGCATGGGGAACAGGAAATGTATTTCCCTTTTCCATCTCTCCCTACTTTATCCTGTTAGACTAAAATAAATCCTTGCTAAAACTTCAAAAACAAAATAATAATCATTACTAAAATATAAAACAAACTGGCTTACTAAGGAAAGCAATTTCCTCAGAGGTTGTTCTGTCACTCATTTTTCCCACTCCCAATGAAAGTACAAAGTTTTCATTTCAAAGCAAACATGTTTGTTTGTTTTTTAATTTATTTTATTTGTGAACATACTGTACAGAGGGGTTACAATTACATAGGCAGGATAATGCGTACATTTCTTATCAAGCATTGCAGCCTCCTCCTTCGTTTATCCTTCACATCCCTTCCCAGCCTCCTCCCTCCCCCCCCAGTCCCAATCCTCCCCCCCCACCCCCCCCCACCCGCACCAACATTGTAAAGCTCGTTTTCGACCTAACAACTTGTACTTCTCATTGTTGCAACAGGTCCACCTGTATCCTTAAACGACTTGTTTTTCCCCATCTCCTCCACAAGTTATACTGACATCAAATATAGTGAAAGCAGGAGTTATACTATGGGGGAGGGACATACAAAGCAACAAAGAAATAATCTTATAAATGCGTTAGAAACAAATGCATGAAAGAAAAAAAACATTAAAATACATATCTAAGGGTTCATTTTCCTAACATCACATTATCTGACCTTTTCCGCTTGACTCATACATATACTAGATATTGCAAATAAGGGAAACCATGGTGCCTATGTTTTTTTGGGCCTGGCTTACTTCGCTTAATATAATTTTTTCCAAGTCTTTCCATTTCCTAACAAATGGGGCAATGTCATTCTTTCTGATGGAGGCATAGAATTCCATTGTGTATATATACCACATTTTCTTGATCCATTCATCTACTGAGGGGCATCTGGGCTGGCTCCAGATCTTAGCTATGGTAAATAATGCTGCAATAAACATAGTTGTGCTGGTAGCTTTAGTGTGGTCTTGAGCAAACATGTTTGTTAATACCATGATTAATCAAATTATTTCTACAATATAAATCTCATGCATTTTATTTCATCACAAAAATTTTGAAGATAAATTCTTTTTTTTCACTTTTTACCTAAATTATATTTCTTATAGGAATATTTAAATGTTTTTTTCCAAAATGAAAATATGCCTGTTTTTATAGATCCCCTAAAGAAAACAAGAAAAGATTAAGAGATATTCTTGATTGTTCAGAATAAAAATAAAAGATCCTGATTAAATTCCTACACAACAAGCTAGCAGTGAATTAGCATTTTAGGACTCCAATGCACACACAGTAGCATAGTCTGTGAGAAAGAAAGAAAGAATGAATGAATGAATGAATGAATGAATGAATGAATGAATATTTCTTCTCCCCAAATCCCAGGAAAGAAAATACCACAAAAAAGGTGCCTGGTAATATCTGTAAAATAAACCTCATCTTTTTAAAATAACAGCTTTATTGATTAATAATTTGTATGACATAAAATATAACCTTTTAAGATGTAAAAGTCATTGATTTAGTACAATCATAATCACTGAATTCAGAACATCTTTACCATCCCTAATAACCCAAACCCATACTAAGTAGCAGCCATTACTAGTTCCCTATTCTTCAAGCTCCTGGTACCAACTGTTTCCTCCAAGGTAATATATAGCTTGAGGTCTGGCTTCTCCCTCAGCATGACTCCTCGCACAGGATATAGCATGTGTCAGGCCAGCACTTTCCTGACATGCCACTGCAGACATGCATAAGGCATTTTGTCTTGCTGTTTATCAATTGACACAGTGTTAAGGGTTTCCCACTTTTTTTACTAGAACAAATAATACTGCTAAATTCTTGTGTGTAATTTTAAGCTTGAACATTATTTTCAATTTCAGGGCCATGGAGGTCAGGCACAAGACCCAGTTTCAAAAGCAAAGTACAAACAAAAGGCTTGGAGCCCAGCTCAAGTGGGAAAGTACTTGCCTAGCAAGAAGTTCAATCTCAGGAACTACCCCCCACCCCTCTGCTGCCAGGAAAAAAAAATACTACACTGGGATTCCATTTCACCTAATTTAAAATGGCTATTTAAAAACACATCTGGCAAGGATGTGGACAAATGGGAACCCTTTAGAATCCCTTCTGCACTGCTGGCAAGTGCAGCATTACTGAAGAACTCAGCTATACCATTACTGGACATATATTCAAGGAAAATTAGTCATCATACAACAGAGGTTGAATGCTGTGTTTTATTACAGCACTAATCACAACAGCCAATATATGCTATTAGCAGATATACCTGTCAACAGATGGATAAAGAAAATGTGTGTATGTGTGTGCTTATACCCAATGGTTTTCTTGTTTGTTTTTGGTGGTACTAGATTTTAAAACTAAGACCCTCTACCACTTAAACCACGACACCCCCCCCTTTTGCTTAAGTTTATTTCCAGGTAGTTTTCCTACTTATAGACCCCCTGTAGCTGTAGAGGTGCAATTCCACCACACCTGGTTTATTTGTTGAGATGGAAGTTCTGACTAACTTTTTACCAGTGTCTTCAAACCACAATCCTCTCAATCTCTGCCTCCAAACTAACTGAGATTGTAGGTATGTACTGTAACATCCAGCAAAGCATAGAAATTATTCTGACATAAAGAAAAATAAAGCCCTGTCATTTGTAGATAAATAGATGAAACTGTATGGATCATTATGTTAAATGAAATAAACCAATCTCAGAAAGATGAGTTTTACATACTTTTCTCTACCTGTCTAAATTTTTTAATGGATCTGATGCAACAATGAGACGTACAAGTTGTCATGTCCAAAATGAGCTTTACAACGTCAGTGCGGGGGGGAGGGGAGGGGAAGGGGTTGGGGGGGAGGGGGGAAGGAGAAGGATTGGGATGGGGGGGAGGGGGAGGCTGGGAAGGGATGGGAAGGGTAAACAAAGGAGGAGGCTGCAATGCTTGGTAAGAAATGTACGCATTATCCTGCCCATGCAATTGTAACCCCTCTGTACAGTTTGTTCACAAATAAAATAAAATAAAATTAAAAAAAAATAAAAAAAAGGGTGAAAGGGATGGGATGATCAGAGACTAGGAGAGTACTAAAGGATGGGCAAGAGAAGGGAAGAAGAAAACAGAAGGAAAGAAAGTGGACATGATCCATGCACAACATATGTATGCATGGTAATGTGACAGTGATATCCATTAATTAGTATACTCAATGTATTAAATAAATGTCACAAATCTCCAGGATGGTGCTAATGTTAACTGCATTTCACATAAGATCCAGATGGAATAATCAGGATAAACATGGACTTCAAAACTGTCTTTAAAGCTGAAAAGAATGCCTATAATCCTAGCCACTCAGGAAGCTGAGATCTAAGGATCATGGCTTTAAGCCAACCTAGGCTGTAAAGTCTGTAATATTCTTCTCTCTACCTAACCAACAAGCCAGAAATGGAAGTGCGGCTCAAGGTCGTAGAACACCAGCCTTTAGCAAAAAAGCTAAGGGACAGAGCCTGCGCCCTTAGTTCAAACATACATACATACATACATACATACATACATACATTCTCTCTCTCTCTCTCTCTCTCTCTCTCTCCCACCCCCCTTTCTCTCAAAGCAAGAAAGGCCCTCTTCCTTCAACTAAACCAACCAAGAGCAAAGCATAAGGTCAGTTCCTTCATTAGACTGAATTTTAGTTATCCAGTTTTTAAATATTATGCAATCTCAGACATTCAAGTCACAGTCCTGAATAAGTCAGGCCACACACCATACGTATGTGCAGACTTATTTTTGAATGTAAGTGTGTAATATGTGTACAGAATATATCTGTGAGGAATAATTATTAGCACCATTTCTTTATCTTAAGATAATCTGTATAACTGTACTCAAAGCCTGGCAGGCATCAAGAAGCTGCTGCCTGACCTGCATCTCCAAACTTAGAGATTAGAGGAAGGAGCCCACAGGTCCACAGCCTCAACAGTGCAAAATGAAGGGAAGGGGAGGGGAGGGGAGGAGAGGAGAGCAGAGGAGAACAGAGGAGAGGAGAACAGAGGAGAGCAGAGGAGAGGAGAGCAGAGGAGAGGAGAGCAGAAGAGAGGAGAGCAGAGGAGAGGAGAGGGAGAGAGGAGACAGACAAAGAGAGAACAGAGAGAAAGGAAAGAAAGGGAAGGAAGGAAGGAAGGAAGGAAGGAAGGGGGAGGGAGAGAAAGAGAGAGAGAGAGAGAGAAAGAAAGAAAGAAAGAAAGAAGGGAGGGAGGGAAGGAAGGAAGGAAGGAAGGAAGGAAGG